ACCACTCTAAGACTCCAGGATCCTTAAGAATCCTTGCCCGCTGAAAAGCATAAGAATAAGCTTTTTGCCACCTTGACTTAAAGAATGCTTGAGTCTGTGAATTCATTCCAGATGAGCCATCATGTACTTTAGTCTTTGAGGGGTCACAATCTCTTACAGCGCAACAATAGATGATTAATTTAGACCTGTATTTATTTGTCCCTGGTTTATTTCCAATCAGTATTATTCAGTTTAGTGTGATTTCATAAGGGTAATAGTTATCTCTGTCTTACCTATTAATATACAGTTTAACCAAGTAATATTAATATATATTTTATGTATCTTATATTTAGGGATAATTAGATATGGTTAGAGAGATTCTTTCTTATATTAGGCCCCAAACTTTAAACTACAGTGCCTAACTACAAAATGCTGACTGGAGGACCTCTACCCTTTAGGCCTGATGAGTAAGTGACCAAGGCCAGTGTGGGTGAAAGGACCTTGGACCCCCACCCTTTTTGCCTAATCATTGTGACCAAGACCTATGTGGCAGAGAAGACCTAATGATATAGGTCTTCCAACTTCTTTTTGTACCTCCAGACCACCCTCTCTTGTCCAATGTGAAGAGGCACCCCATATTATGACCACTTAGACAGTGGAGATGACCCTTGCCTTGTCTATCTTGTGACCACCCATGCTGATGCATCATCTCTTGCTCTCCTGGAGGGTCAAAATCAAGGTCTATCAACCAATGAGAGTCAATTTTACTTTGCTTCTTTCGTATTTTGTGGCTATTAAGCAGTATAAAACTAAGGCCCTGAAGTAAGGGGACATCTCAGATTGGGAAGAAGATCTGAGGTCCCATTCAGTGAAGAGGGTCTGGTTCCTTTAATAAATGGTTACTAGCTTGGAGCTCTGCCTCAGTATCTTTTATTGCAGATTGGACAATTTTTAGACCCCGAAGATGGAACAGACTAGGTTATACCCTTGTGAGTTTTGACATATCTTGAAGAGCCACCAGAGATCCAGCAACTGGACCCTGACAGTGTGGGCTGGTAGCCACACAGCTGAGTCTGATGAGGAGATGGGTCTTAGGAATGATTTACTTGGCCCATCTTTAGCTGTGGATTGACCCGTAAGCAGAGACACCATGTTTTATAAGTAAGGGAGCAAGTTGTTCAACAGCTCCACAGAACTCAGAAGTAAATATGGAGTGAATGTTTTCAGTCACTACATTGCATTTACTCTCCCCAGAGACCAGGGAAGTGAAGGTGAATGGGTTCTTGCTTTTTTGAGGCTTCTGTTCTTGTTATATCTTCTCAGTAAATATCCCTTTGCAAAGGTAATTCATCTTTTATCAGTTAATTAATACTGAGGAGAGTCCAACTGTGTAAAACTTTATTGGGACATTTAGCACTGGCTGGATGACAGTAAGGACACGGTAACTGGATTAATTGCCAATGGGGAAAATGCACCAGATGAGGTATGGGGAGAGATAGTATTAGAGAACCTCAAACCTGCAGGGTTTCTTCTCTCACTCTGCATTCTGGAGATTCTACCTGCTAAGTGGGGTGAGAGTTTGGGAGAGTGAACACAGCCCAAACAACACAGATGGAATGGTAACCATGACCCCAAAGCAACCGGTGGGTATAACCTGACTCTGGAGAAAGCACCAAATCTCCTTTTATTAAGGGGATTTTATTAACAAATGATTTTATTAAGGGGATTTGTTCTAGGAAGTTTGGCTCCAGTCAAAGGGCTGCAATGCTACATGTGGCCTCGAGGCTGCAGGTTCCCCACCACTGGGCTACACCCTAGTTCAAGTCTTATCCCACTCATGGTCCCTGATGTCAAGCTAGGACTGCTTTTCTACTGTCCAACTCAACCCTGCTTTCCCCTCTAACCTGAGGCTAGGGAAGAACTTAGCCCATCCAAAGAAGGCCTAGCTTATGGTTCTTGGGGAAACGGCCAATTTGCTGAATTGCCAACAGCACGGAAATCTTTCCCCCCAGTATCAATTCTAGTATAACGCTCCCTTCTTCAAAGCTCAGAAAGGACAGCCCACCCCACAAAGCCCAGAAATAATGAATTTGGTACACGTCATCTTTTCCTTCTTTATGTCGGCTTAATTATTGCTCTGTGTTAAATGTTTCTCTTTCTGGATCAAACAATGATGGGAACATCCAACGAAGCTTCTGTTCCCAGGTGTCTTGTGCCTGCATCTGGAACCATAACTAGGGCAGATAATGAGTAGAAAGCTATGAGAGATGGAGAGTAGGCAGAGTTTGATTTACTCATGGGCTAGCTTGACCTCATGTCAAAACCTCCGCCAGGATGCCTTGAAAAAGCATGGCCTTTCATGTCCTCTATAACAAGTTGTCATCTGGCCTCTCTGCTTGAAGACCTCCAATGAGGGGGGAACCCACTGACTCCTGCGGCAGCTCATTCCATCTGGAGACAGCTCCAATCATTAGATCGACTCTGACATCCAGCCCAGTTTGCTTTTTTGTAACATGCATTGCCCCGCCCCCTCAGATTACTCCTGATTCTGCCCAAGAGGACACATAAATCCCTCCTCTATTCGAAATATTTCAACACAACTCTCACGTCTTGAGTCTTCTCTTAAATGTCACACAGCACATTTTTTTGGTCCCCTCTCTAATGCATCAATGTATCACTGTGTGTGTCAGTCATCCTTGCAGCACCTATATGATATCCTAGGCTAGACAGTAAGTTCCAAACCTCAGTGGGATAGTGTAAGAGAAGAGGTCCCAGGACAGAGCTTTGGGAAGCACTGATGGGTTGGTGGGCATGACCCAGTAGAAAATCTTGACAAAGGAGACAGAAGTACAGTTAGACAAGTAGAAGCAGGAGTGAGTATTATCAGAAAAACCTAAGGTCTCTCAGGAAACAAGAGGAAGGATCCCCTATGTTCTATGGTAGAAGTGGTTATAAGTAGTATACTTTCTCAGTCAGTATGTCAATCAAGTAAACCCAACGGAGTGTGTGCCTATCTGCCATTCCTGTCTAACCCTAACCAGTCAGATCCACTTTCTCTTGGATGTTGATATTTGTAGTGAGTCCCGGGTTTTTTTTTTGGGGGGGGAGGTTGGAGTTTTATAACTTTTGTTCTTATTTTTACCATATTAGCAAATGCTTTTACAAACAGTTACTTAATTCTTCAGAATGATTGTCCATGTGATGAGGGAGAAAAGAGTGCTTGAGGCAGATGGAGCTAGTGAGGAGATAAGATGCAGGAACAGCCAGAAAAGTGACCAAAGATTAGGCACTGAAGCCCCTACCAGGGACTTAACTGTGTGCTTTCACAAACACCCCAATTCCAGAGCAACTCTTCCTCTCCCTTTCCTGTCCTTTGCTTATCGAGTCCCCACCCCCTACTACCTGATATCCCAGGCATTTTGGAGCCATGCTTGCTCCTCCCCTTCTCTCCTCCCCTTCCCCCTATTCCATAAAATTGTATTTAAACCATACCTTCGACCTGGCTAACTGCCTTTGCCTTCTACAGGAAGCAGGGGCCTTCAGCTTACGCTCTGCCTCCCCTGTGGAGTAAAGCCCATGGGGGCTCCGCCTTATAGGAAGCAGGCCCGGCTTGGGTGCATCACCCCAATAAATGCCTTTCTTTAACTTGGAGACTGTTGGGGTTGGGATTGAGACCCCAGAAAGGAAAAACCCTGGACTTTCCCACTTGGCCAAATCTCTGGCATTCACCTTAGGCTATAATCCCAACAACTGGCCTTTCACTGCTACTACACCCAATCTCCCCTCCTTTGTCTTACCTCCCAATGGCCCCCACCATTTCCCACACTTAATCCTAGGTAGGCTCCATTGTCCAGGTTCCGGGAGTTCTGTTCACCACAGCTTACTGACCACTCCCATTCAGAGCCACTCCTAGATCCCTCCCACACTCTTTCTGTATATAAGGTCCATCTTGTCTCCATTAAGTTGCTGGGATTCTTATACTCTAGCCAATAGTTTACTAGTGTTCAAACTCTTAAGTTTGCCCAATATGTCGGATGTTCTAATAAACCCTGTCTTTGGCTGAAAGAAGGCTTGGGTCGAATTCTTTCAGGCACATGATTTGGGGGTCCCAGGACCCCGAGCCCCTAAACAGCACCAGAAACTGAGTAAATTATTTTGGGATACTAAGACCCGCAGGTCTATTCCTCATCATTTCAGGCAGCACCCCAACATTGTTGGGGTCCACCATCACTAGTGGCCACAGTGAAGGTCTAACGGAATTCTTTGACACCCCAGTCAGCTCTCCCAACTCTAAAACTCAACAAATGGACCCTAAACTACTTGTAGGAGCTGCTGGGTTACCCTCTATAATGTGAGGGAGCAGCCACCCCTCTGGGCATCCTATCCACGTGCGTGAGTGTGTTAGGTGGGTGTGTGCCAGAAATGTATCTTAACGGACTCCAGTGACTGGATCAGGGTCCTGTGCACCATGGGCATTAGAGGGTAACCGAATCCTCCTTCCTGATACATACGACCAGCACCCAGGACCACTCTGGAAGGAGGGCGGGGGTCCCACCCAACTAGACTAAGGAGTATTTGTTGGGGCAGTGGCGGTGAGCTGCAGGAGCAGGAGCGGTCCCGCGCTGCCACGGTAAGGGAGGAGGGACCGGAGGCAGTCTTGAAGTCGCCACGTGGCAGACTGCACTGCGTCTGCGCAGAAGGAGCCTCGCGCCTACATTTCCCAGACTCCTTACGGCCCTCTTCCCCCGCCCCCTCCAGCTCCTTCCTTCCTTTTGAGGGCTGACTTCATTTCCCAGGATGCCTCTGTGAGGACACGTAGGGTCACGAACCCGCCGTCTTCTGCGGCGCTGCTCTTCCCAACGCGGCTGGGTCCTGGCTCCACATACTCGGGCAGGGAGGGAGGAGCCGCCCCAGAGCCCATTCCTCCGTGCGAGCGGAGCGCGTGAGTGCGTGCAGAAGGGTAAGGAGGACGGGGAAGGCGGGGTCCGCCCAGCCCATCCCAGGCTTAGCTCCAGTCACGTTGCGTGCACGCGCACGCGTGCTGCTGCGTGAGCGCGTGCGTGCTCGCGTGCGTGCGCGGCCCCGGCGACTCGGCGTCGCGGTGGCCGGAGTCGGGCGGATCCGGAGGCTGCTGCGGTCGGGCAGGAGGTGGGCCAGTGGCTGGGGCAGGTGCGGGGGGAGCGGCCTCGGTCGAGGCGCGTTCGGGACTGCAGAGGAGCCGAGCCTGAGGCGCGAGGAGCGGGTAAGGCCCGGGAGGTGGGGGCGGGGAGGAGGGTCATGTGACCCCCGCGGGGGAGGGGCGGGAGTAGCCGAGCGCCCCGGGCCGCGACCCCCGCCCTCCTGCTTCGGTGGCGTGCGGGGCTGGCCCCGCCTCCGTCCGCGGGTGAGGCTTGGGGCACCGCGTCCGTTCTGAAGATATCGGGGGCTGAGCCTCCCCTTGGGCCATCCGCAAAATTGGTCAGTTTGTGCCCCGCCCCCCCGGAGGCTAATGGGCCCGAAGCTGGCTGGGGGGGGCGGAGCTCGTGGCTCCCGGGAGATGCGGGCGCGAGCCTGCAAGAGCCCCGTGGGGCACCGCGAGGGGCTTTGCAGATAGCATCTCGTTGACCCTCCCCTCCCACCCCCCAAGCCCACGGCGGGGGCTGTCAGATCGCCTGGGTCTCGTAGTTAGCGAAGGGTGTACTTAGGGAAGAAGGTCCAGCCAGCTCCCGAGAGCCTGCTTCAGTGCGGAGAGCCCCGGTCTGTTACGAGGCTCCTACTACGTGCCAAGTGCTCTCCTTAGCACTCAATACGTATCTCACGACCCTGGGGGGGGTAGGGTCTCATTTTACAGATGAGGGAACTGAGGCAAAGTGGTGAAGACTTGTCTAATGTCACACAGCTACCAGGTGTCCAAGGCACAATTTGAACTCCAGTCTTCCTGACTCAGGCCCAGCACTCTTATCTACTGTGCCCCCTAGCAATTTGTGATTTATTTAGTTTACTCTCCTGCTCAAAGTGATTGGGAATCTTAAAGATGACTTTTATGACCATCAGTGCTCCCAGAATCAAGTAGAATGAGTTCTTTTATTTTTTTTTTTGAGGCAGTGGGGGTTAAGTGACTTGCCCGGGGTCACACAGCTAGTAAATGTCTGAGGCTGGATTTGAACTGAAGTCCTCTTGACTCTATACACCTCACCGTCTAGCTGACCCCCAAAGTTTTATTTTTTATCAGGCATATGCTTGCTGTTTCTGTGGTCCAGACATCTGCTCATAGGTACCGTAGTTTTCTCCAAGGAATTCAGCAAATCCTTTTGCCACACATTGTGTCCTTTGTGGAAAATATTGGACAGTTTTTCATTAAGGAGGCAACAGAGGCACAGAAGAGCTAACTTGAATTCTCAGTGCTGGACACTGGTGAAGTACTGAAATTCAACCTCTGTGTCCCAGTTCTATAGCCAGTTTTGTTCCTTGGAACATGTTCAATGGGCAAAGGGGTCACTGGGACTGATGTCCATGGCCCTTCCTTATGATTGTAGAAGGAGGTGGGTCCCCTTTTGATCTTACTCTTCAAGGGTCTTGGGCCTCACACACCTAGGCTAGAGTGTGTTGTTTTACTAGGTCAATTTTGTTTCCCTCCTGAATTCTTTTTTTGCCTTCAGGCTAGGTTTTCCAGATTTCGCCTTTCCTCAGACAAGAGGAATAAAGAATGACTTCTGGGCTTCTGACAGCCGGGTCAATGGTGAGTTATGGTTTCTTTCTCCTGAAATATGTGGATATATTTCTTTCCCTCGTGCTCCAGCCTCTCCACTCTATGAAGTCCCATCCAGGGATGACCCGAGCCTTGAATATTCTCCCTCTGATGACTGGCTACTCAGACTTTATAGAGTTCATAGATCATTGGAGCTGGAAGAGATTAGATAGACCAACCCTCTTTATCTGGCATGATAAGGTGAGGCTCAGGAAAGTAGAGGGTCTCATTCAAGATCATCTTTTTTTTTTAATTAAATTTTTCTTTTCATATGAAGATCCATTTTCTTTCTTTCACTCTCCTTCTCATTCTTTTCCCTCCAGTTGAGAAAAAGGCAAGAAAAACAAAACTCCTGTTACAAACATATGTTGTCACAGAAAACAAGTTCCCAAATTGGCCATGTCCAAAAAACATGTGTCTCAATCCATCACTATCTATTAGGAGAGGGGTAACATTTCAGTATGGATCCTCTGGAATTATAGTGGGATCGTTGTTGACCAGAGTTCCCAAGTCTTTCACAGTTGTTTGTTTTTACAACATTGTTGTTATAAAAATTCTCCTTGTTCTGCTCATCGCCCTCTGCATCTGTTTGTACGGATGTTTGTACGGGTCTTCTCAGGTTTCTCTCAAGCTGTCATCCACTAAAGTCACCTGTTGCAGAGAGTACAAGATCTGAGGTCTCAGGACTCTCTGCCATGTGTTGTTTCCATTGTTATTATCATTATTTAGCCATTCAGTCTTGTCTGACTCTTCATGACCCTGTTATGGGGTTTTCTTGGGAGAGCTAACTGGAGTGGTTTGCCATTTCCATCTCCAGTGGATTAAGGCAAATAGGTTAAGTGACTTACCCAGGGTCACACAGCTCATAAGTGTCTGAGGCCAGATTTGAACCGAGTCTTCCTTACTAGAGGCCCAGCGCTCTATTCATTGAGCCATTTAGCTGCCTGTGTGTTCTTTCCATTAGGCCGCAGTACATCAGGACCGTTCCCCGTTTTCTTAGTTCTGTTCTGTCCTGGAGAACTTTTGCTTGTTCATTGAACCAGTTCTATAATGTTCTTTTCCAAGTGCTGTGAAATAAACTGCAGAAAAGAGTAAATACTTGTGTTATTACAGATGGAAAGTTAGATCTATTTTTAATCATAAGGAAACACGACCAAGTGCCTTAGGAGCTGTGATCTGGTTGGTTTTGGCACCTTGCTCGGCACCGTGGAGACTCCCAACCAGCTTAACACTTGATTAATAAATACATCTCTGGGAATTTCCTGAAGCTCAGATAAGTCAGTGACTTACCTGTGGTCACTCCGCTGATGTGTGTAAGAGGCTACTCTTGCCCTGAGTTCTTCCTGTTTTCCAAATCCAGCACTGTACCCATATCCAAGTCATCCATCCAAAGATGTCAAGAGAGGAAATTTTAGGAGTTCAGTAAAGGACCAGTCAGCGTGATTTATTTCTAGATTACTACTTTGTGGTTTGAAAAGAGAGTTTTCATAATTTCTGCCTTTTTCCAGTTTACCAAGGGCTTCTGTTGTGAAAGGTTCTTGTGTACTTTAAAAGTACATATTTCTTGGTTCTCCCATTTCTCTCCATATTTGTTTTTCTGTCGTATTTAACCTCTACCTATTAGGACCCAAGACAGAAGTAAGGTTTTCATCCTTGTATAGCAGCCCCCCTTTCCTCCTGCAGAGTGTGGCAGAATGAAAAGGAAAAGGAGGTAGAGTATGCTAACAATTTCAGTTTGTGATTGTCTGTAAATGTGGTTGTTGCTGTTCTAAATTTGAGGTCACAAAATCTAAGTTGGAAGGGACTTAGAGCCTGTTTCACCCCAAAAGGAATCCCACTCTTAACAGACCAGATGTGGTCATCTGCTTCTTTTTGATGGCCTGCCATAAAGACAAGCTCACTGCTTCCTAAAGGTGTCTGCTCCACTTTGAGATTACTTTGATTGATAGAAAGTTTTTTCCCTGTCTTAAACCTAAATCTCCCACTGCATGTTCCACCCATCATGCTGGCTCTGCCCTTTATAGCCCAGGGAGACATCTTATCTTCCACATGACAGGTGTTCAGATATTTGAAGCCAGCTATGGTATCTCTGTTATCTACGCCAAGTATTCCCAGTTTCTTCACAGGAGCCACATATGGTATGAGGGTTCATAGGCCCTCAGGGGTTCCCCGGATAGGTTTTAGGGGAGCTCATGCACTTGTTTTACTATCTTATAACTATTTTAATATAGCTTCCTTTCTAATCTTATGTGTTCTATTTTGTGCACTTAAAAACCTTCTGAGAAGGGTCGCCTAGGCTTTACCAGATGCTGACAAAGAGCCCCAGGACACAATCACAGTGAACCTGGTGTACACATTACTGCTGCTCAGTGTTGGCAGGCTTTAAAGTGTGGTCTGGGGTCCCTGAAGTCAAAATTGCTTTCATGAAAACATTAACATATTTGAATCTTTGATAAGGCAAATGTTGATAGATCTAAGCCACATAAACAAAAGCCTTTAGGGTGCTGTTATCTTCAGTGGTTTTTAAAAGTAGAAAGGGGTCCTGAGATCATCAGGTTGGAATTGCTGCCCTCCATAGCTTGGCTCTTGCTGTTTTCCATGTGTTAGCATGCTATGCCCAATCCCATCCTTGTCACTGGACATTTCACCCCAAAATCCAGTCATTGTGGCAACCACTGACTCACCCACATCCCACCCCTAGTTTGCCATTTTTTTTTATTTTTACCAAATAATTACCAAATAATTCTTTTTTTATTTTTACCAAATAAATTTACCATTTTTGACCAGGAGGATGATGCCTTATGAGAGAAAGAATGAGCTGTTGTTAATTAGTGCTGACAAGAGCTTACACCTTCATGCATTCTTTGTGGCCATCCTCTTTATTCTGCCTAAAATGTGTCAGTTGGGAGTGGGCCTTGCTTAACATGTGTGTCTGTTTAGAAAGGGGTTTTGATAGTGACTGCTGCTGTTACTGCTGACTCTGTGACAGTAGAGTTTTGCACAAGATGAGGCCTCTAGAAACTCTAGAGATGGCACATGCACAACTCCTAGAACCAGCCTGCTTCCTGTCACCCTCGTGTTCCGCCTCATGGATGGCTCCTGAGTGAGCAGAAATGTTGGCTCTTTCAGGAATCGGTGACGTTCCAGGATGTGGCTGTGGACTTCACCCAGGAGGAGTGGGGGCGCTTGGAGCCGGCCCAGAAGGACCTGTACAGGGAGGTGATGCTGGAGAACTATCAGAACTTTGTCTCCCTTGGTAAGGACAGCTTGCCCCTGTGAGCTGGCATCTGTCTGTTGGGCTAGCCTTGTGGCCTGGCTGAAGTGCCAAGCTGGGTTTTACCTTAGTGTTCAGGGATAGTCGTGAATGATGATGGTAATGGGGACCATGGCTGACATTTGTATTGTACTTCAGGGGTTAAGTTCTGGTTCCTTATTTGATCCTACCCCAAACCTGTGAGGTCAGTACTGTAATCATCCCCTGCAGTCATCCAGAGGAGGAAACCTCAGTTCCAGCGAGTCTGCAGATCAGCAGTCCTTTATAAAAGGGCTTCCATGTGCCAAGCATGAGAGACAGACACTAGATGTCTTTCCATTGGCCCCATACTTTAGGAGTGTCTGAGCAACTGTTTGAATACAGGTCTTCCCCGACTTTCCCAAGCATGGATTAAGTACGTCTGAGATGTAAGGCATTGTGCTCGGTGCTGAGAATACAGACTCACCAGTGAAAGAGTTCCTGCCTTGGAGGAGCTTATGTTCCAAGAGCGGCATGATGGCCGTGGCACCATGCTGCCTCTTTGCCCCTCTAGTAATGGGGGATCTCATTGTTGCTCTTTCCTGGCCCCAAGGAACAGTTTTAGATTTATGCAAGCAGAAATCCCAGCTTTGGGTTACTTCCTGTGTTGGGTTCCCTCAGGGCAGATATTTTCTCCTGAAATCCCAGTGCAGATCCCTGCACGCTTGAAAGATTTCCCTTCCTCTTGGCAGGATCAAAATAAACTGATTTTTTTGCTTCTACAATGAAGGGGTGAGACCACATGGCCCTTACAGGCCCCTCCTATGGGCCCCTGCAGCTGGAAATCTCTGATCCCATGGACTCGGTGATCTGACCTCCATATTGCCTAAGAGCACCCTTGGTGTTAATCTCTGCCTGCCCCATTTTTGTTAAAGACAAAGGGGCTGCAGTGAATTTTGAGATGGATTTCTGTTCTCAGCACTTTGCTATTTCTTTCCCTACCAGGAGGACTGCCAGCCCCCAAACCTCATGTGATTTCCCAGTTGGAGAGAGGAGAAGCACCATGGATAACAGAGAGAGAAGCCCTGGGAGGCATTTGTCAAGGTGGGTGAGTGAGTGAGTGAGTGAAACCAGGCCGATGGCAGTCCTTGCCAACAAGAAGTTAGTAACGTTGGAGTCCCTTTGAAATGGTAGGCGGGGAACCTTCCTCAAAGGCCCCAGCACCAGGAGGCAGTTGAATTTGGTCTGATTACTGATTATTTGTTGTCCCTGGGATCTCCTATAGGCCCTCTTGAGCTTGAACAAATATGTAACACTTCTCCTCTTGTCTTCCTTTTATTCTTTTTATCTGATGTTCACCCTTCTGGACTGTGGATCTCAGCCTTCCTCCCCTCCTCACCCCTCCGTGTTTATTTTCTCCTCTTTAGTCCTTTATGTATCTTTCTCTTTTTCTTTTTTTTCCCTAGGCAGTGGGGTTAAGTGACTTGCCCAGGGTCATAGAACTAGTAAGTGTCAAGTGTCTGAGGCCAAATTTGAACTTAGGTCCTCCTGACTCCAGCACCGCTTCTCAATCAGATGCGTCACCTAGCTGCCCTGTATCTACCTCTTTAAAGATACCTTTTTTTTTCTCTTAGGCTTTTCTGCCTATGTTAAAAGAAAAAAACACAAACTTATGATGTTTTTGGTTTTGCCTACCTTTGAGGTTATCTTACTGTCTTTCTTGACAAATGTGTCCTCTGGATTATCTCTGTTTCATTTTCTTTCTGAAAATGATAGCAGTCTGATTTTCGTTCCCACTTTCTTTAATACTCAGAGGATGTGTGATTTCTTCAATGTGAGTACTCCCTCTGGAAACAATTGTGACTTCTTTTGCAGTGCATCGTTTTTGTGATTTGCTGCAGCTGAATGCTTCACCATAGCTAGCAGTTATGTGGTGTGTTAAGGTTTCCAAAGCACTTGGCACACATTCTCTCATTTGATTATGTATCTGATCATCATTTGACATTTTACATCATCTTTTAGCCAACTTGGGAATGATGAGTCTCCAGATTTTGCTAGGCTGGATCTCATATGAAAGACATCCTTGTACAGAAACCCTTTCAAGTATGGTAGGATTGGCTCACAGCTCGCCTCCCACTAACGTGACCTTGGAGAGCCCAGGCTTCCCTGGGTACCACGATGATGTGTCACGATAAGACTTCAGTAAAGGTGTCTTCCCATCATCCGGGACAATAGCAACAGTTTTCTTTATCTTCTTTAAAATATTTTCACATTATCTGTTTCAAAAAAACTTTCAATAAAAAAAGAAAAGAGGAAGAAAAATAGTTTGACAGAACTTACAGTGCATCAAAAAAAGCCCACCATTATATGCACTTTTCCAAACTTTTAATTCTTCCCCCTGCCCAGAAGTGTCTTCTTAGATCTCTTCTTTGGGACAAACTTAGCCATTATGATTTTGCAGTATTCACTTTCGGTATCTTTTGTGCTTCCTATTTGCTTTGTTGTAATTACTACATGTATTGTTTTCTTAGTTCTGCTTCGTTTTACATTGCTTTCCATAAATGTCTGTGCTTCTGTTTTTGTCATATTTATACTTACAACAGTAATATTCTTGTATTTCCCGTCTTTCTCTCACTCTGAAACACAAAGCTTACTCTTACCTGCCTGCAGATATATTCAGATTTTGCCAGTCCTGAAAAGTCTTCTAGAGGGTCTACCGAAATACCCCAGTTGTCCCCACCATGGGCTGCTAAACTAATTGAAAAAGTGGTCTATGAAGGCATGGTGGTGTGGATTCCTGGTGGATGCCATGACCCTGGGAGTTAATAGGAGCTTCTGTAGTGAGGGCTAATGCAAGTTATGCATATCTACACACTAAGTCTGGCACCTGTACAGTGAACTCCTAGGAGTGGAGGTTCCCCCAGGCTGCCAGGACCAGGTTGGAAAAAATGGGGCGGCCAAAGCTGTGCCCTCATTATTGAGACCTGGGAGACATAGGGGGACCCAGACGTTAGGGGAGAAATGGCTTATACATGATTATTTTTGGCTCTATACGTTTTCAGCCCCTTCTGTCTTTTTAACATAAAACATGCCACAGTATTCTAATTCTGTTCTCATCTCTTTAGTTGCTCTTTCTTTGATGGTGCCTCATTCTTTCACACACTTTTCAAAATGGGGCTTCCCCAAGGGCATTTCCTGGGCCCTCACCATTTCTATCTGTATTTCTTCTTTGGACAGTTTCATTTATCTCCTATAGACAGCTTCTGTAGTGACCAGTCCTGTGCATCTGGTTCTCAAGTGTATTTCTACAGTGTTACCATTCTTGATCCAGAACCCCATCCCCAACTGTCTTGGAGACCTCCCTCTTCAGGGGTCCCTGAGCAATCCAGATTTAGCGTGTCTAAAATCAAACTCCATCTTCCCCGAAAGGGCTCTTTATAAAAACTGTGTTATTTTTGTCTGTGGCATCTCCACTTAGTGCATTCATAACTTTTTTGGATACAATGGGTAAAGAGAATCAGTTGGCAGATCCCCTAGATTGTATCTCCATAGCATCTCTTGTATAGCTTTTGTATCTTCCTTGGTCTCTTGAACTCACCCCAGTTCAGGCCCGTGTTACCTACCTGATCTAAAAGAGTGCAGTGGCCTCCTTGTCTGTCTGCTCACCTTAGATCTCTTTGTAATTCTCCTCTCCCCTTCTCTATGTATGTCAAACTGCTGTCAAAATAGTCATTGTCATAATGTGATCTGGTTATGTCATCCTCAGCTTTGTACAAGTGATGGTATGAAATGAAACTGGAGTGTTTTAATATGGATTTCTTCATTTATTAGTAATTGGGAATATTTTCATATAGTTGATAAGTTTGCAGTTCCTATTTTGAAGAGTGTTCATTTCCTCTAACCGCTTAAGTATTTGAGAATAGCTTTTGTTCTTACGTATTTGTATCAACTTCATATTAATTTAATTTGCCCACTTTAGCTTTTATAATCGCCTCTATTCTTTGAAAGTCATTTACCTATCATCATGAAAGGTGACCTTTTTTAATGATGTAACCTTTATGTCACATATCTACTTTGGGTATATTGCACAAAATCCAAGCTTCATTCTTGCCAAATTGCTTTTTAGCTTTTCCAGAAGCTCTTATTGACTAAGTTTCTTTTACCTCTAATCTCAATAACCAATTCTCAGGTTAGTAGAAAACCACCAATTTTTGTGTGCCTGCTGTGTTTTTATCACTAGGTTTGTTCTGTTGATTTTAACTGATACCAAACTTCTTTAAAAAAAAAAAAAAGAAATCTTTTTTAGTATAATTTCAAATCTGGTAAACCTAAACCTTCATTCTTTTTATTCTTCACCTTGAGATTCTTCACTTTGGTTCCTCCAAATGAATTTTGTTCATAATTTCTCCAATTCTAGAAAGATACTATTTTGAAATTTGGTATCACTTTAAATCTGCAAAGCAGTAGTTGGCTTTCCGATTCCTTACAGTATTTTCCCATCCTTAACTCTAGAACCTCACCACTAAAAGAAATGATGTGTTTATTGTGAATGTTTTCTTACTGGATCCATGTTGGGTGTTAGGGATCCATACTTTCTTCTCTAATGGTTCACAAATGAGTGTCTAGATGTTAGTTTCCTGAATGTTGCCAGTTTATTAGTGTTATAGTGTTGTATCTAAAATTAACCAATTTCCTCCTTGTAATGATTAGCTGTATTCCCAGTTTACATATTAGTATTCTGATGACATCTACAAATGCTTTCTATACTGTAGAAAATAAATGTAACTGGTATGAAGAACGTGTGTGCATCAAAGTCAATGGGGTCTGGAGTCAGCCGGCCTCGGCTTGCTACTTGACTCTGCTGTATATTTAATTTTATCCTGTTGAGTTCTGTAATCTAGGGATATGCTATGACTATTACTTATTAATAAATTTCTCGTTAATTATCTCAAGACTGTAATCTAGTTCATTAGACACCAGTTATTAATGAAATGGAGAAACTTTGCTGGTTGCAGTTGCTCTTTAAACATTTTGATTATTGCCTGTTCACAATTAACAAATGAAGGCAGGAAGCATAAAGCTGTATAACTATTTATAATATTTTGACTCACAACCTGAGTCACTTCAAACACTCATCATAATTAATAATCTCCTACCATGTGCTAGGCATCGTGCTGAGTACTGGGATACAAAAAGAGGCAGAAGACAATAAATAATAAAGTTCTTGAAAGAGTTTACAGTATAATGGGGGAGACAGCATGCAAACACATATAAGAAATAAACTATAGACAGGATACATGGGAAATAACAGCGAGAAGCACTGGGTCTGAGAGGGTTGGGGGAAGACTTCCTGCAGAAGGTGGGATTTTAGTTGGGACTTAGGGAAGTCAGTAGTTGGAGTGGAGGAAGGAAGAGCATTCCAAGCATGAGGAGTAGCTAGAGACAAGAGGAGTGTTGTTCATGGAGTGGCCAGGAGGCCAGTGGATCAGAGTATGCGTTGAGGAGTAATGTAAGAAGGAAAAGGTAGGAGGCGGGCAGGTTATGAAGGACTTTGAATGCCAAAGAGCATTTTCTGTTTGTCCTGGAGGCAATGGTGAACCACTAGAGTTTATGTGGGGGGGGGGGTGCGGTGACATGATCAGACCTGTGCTTTAGGAAAAATCATTTTAGTGGCTGAATGGAGATGGATTGGAATGGGGAGAGACTGGAGGCAGGGAGAGCCACCAGCAGCTGTTGCAGTAATCCAGGCAGGAGATGATGAGGGCTGTGTCGATGGGGAGAAGGGGACCTATTTAAGGGATATGTTGCAGAAGTTATATCAACAGGCCTTGGCAATAGCTTGGATGGTGGTAGTGATGTGCACAGTGTATGAGAAAGTGAGGAATCCAGGATGATTCTGGGTGGTGAGCCTGAGGGGCTGGGAGGATGTAGGGGGCAGTAGAGGATGGTGCAAGGGGAATGATGATGAGCTCTGTTTTAGACGTGTTGAGTTGAAGGTGTCTGCTGGACGTCACTTAGAGATGTCGGAAAGGCAGTTGGAGATGAGATTGGTGCTTAGCAGAGAGGTTGGAACTGGAAAGGTAAATTTGAGAATCATCAGCGTAGAGGTGGTAATTAAATCCAGCTGATGAGATTCCCAGGTTAGATAATATGTAGAGGGAGAAGAGTCTATCAGCTTCTCAGCCTCTTCATAGAATTATCATTGTAAACTGTAGGATTTCCTTATAAAACAGGATTTAAGACAATTCTGTCACATCAGGTCATTTCCTTAGCTTCTTAAACTGCTACCCAAATAGATCACTCATGAAACATGTTCCTGACTCTATGGGGAAAAGTAATTTGCATTAAACTATTTTTCCCAAGTGGCTTTTTAAGTTCTCACCACAACCCCCACCCCACCCCCCAATTCTAAATATAAATATAAATATGGTTTGATTTTTTTCTTTGTGAGGCAATTGGGGTTAAGTGACTTGCCTAGAATCACACAGCTAGTGAGTGTTATGTGTCTGAGGACACATTTGAACTTGGGTCCTTCTGACTCCAGGGCCAATGCTGTATTCACTGCACCATCTAGGTGCCCCCATTTGTTTTCTTAAAGAGACAGTAACAAAAAACAAAACCAGAAAAAGGATAGTAACAGTTTCTATAGCTTTTATAGAAAAGGCTATTTTGAATCAGGTTACATAAACTAATCCCTGATAATTAGATATTCTGTTAATATCTCATCTTCCTCCACACTTCTCCCTTATACAGTTTCTAAGAAAAGATTGTTCTGCCTTTTTCCAGTGGGTTATCCTTCTCCTCGAGGAATAATAGAACTTGACACAAAACAAGTTTCCTTTCTTGTAGCAAAGTGAATATGGATATTAACAGGGTACTTTTTGTTTGTTTCAGATTTCTTCATTCAACATACAAGGTATGAGATCAAGGAACCATCTATAAATTACGGCATTTTTATGGGAGCATCAGTCAAGGAGAGACTCTCAAAGAATCCCATCTGGAATTCTAAGTTAGGTGAAGCGTGGGGTTTTAATGTCTGGTTGGAAGACCATAAGGGGAAGGAGGAGAGATGGTCCCAGCAAGTTACAGGAGGTCACAGAATGACTTCGAATGACTTGGATGTTCATGAACAGAGTGCTTTTGGGAGAAGGTTCAAGTTAGGGTCTGTTCTTGTTCCCAGACAAAGAGCTACTGCAGGAGGACAGCACAGTCAACATGACACACTTGGAAGGAGCTTCAGGCAGTTGTCAGACATAATTGACCATAATAGGAATTCCTTAGGGAAGAAAATCTGTAACTATAAATGCAAGAAGCCTGTCATTTACCACTCAGACCTTTTTCAGTACCACAGATTACACAGTGGAGAGAAACACCATACGTGTAGTCAGTGTGGGAAAACCTTCAGCAGTAGCTCATGCCTTATTGCACACCAGAGAATCCATACTGGAGAGAAGCCTTTTAAATGTAATGAATGTACAAAAGCCTATCGGCGGAAGGCACATCTTATTCAACATCAGAGAATTCATACTGGAGAGAAACCCTATGTATGTAATGACTGTGGAAAAGCCTTCAGCATTGATTCATCCCTGGTTAAACATCAAAGAATTCATACTGGAGAAAAGCCCTACAAATGTAGTCAGTGTGGGAAAGGCTTTAGCCAAAAAGGACACCTTAATCAACACCAAAGAATTCATACTGGAGAGAAACCTTTTACATGTAATGAATGTGGGAAAGCTTTTAGCCAATATAAACACCTTAATGAACACCAGAGAATTCACACTGGGGAGAAACCCTATGAATGTAATGTATGTGGCAAAGTTTTCAGACAGTTTGGAAACCTTAGTAAACATCAGAGAATTCATACTGGAGAAAAACCATATAAATGTAAACAATGTGGGAAAGCTTTCATTGACAATTGTGTCCTTATTCAGCATGAAAGAATTCATACAGGAGAGAAACCATATATATGTAATGAATGTGGGAAGGCCTTCAGTCGAGGAATATGCCTCAAGAAACACAAGAGAATTCACACTGGAGAGATACCATATAAATGTAATGACTGTGGGAAAGAGTTCACTGATAAAACATCCTTTATTTGTCACCAGAAAATTCATACTGGAGAGAAGCTTCATGAGTGTATTGACTGTGGGAAAACTTTTTGCCAGAAGGCAAACTTAAAAAAACACAAAATGATTCATACTGGAGAGAAGCCCTTTGAATGTAATGAATGTGGCAAAGCTTTCCGAGTGGTGGGACAGCTTAACATACATAAAAGAATTCATACTGGAGAGAAACCTTTTAAATGTAGTGAATGTGGAAAAGCCTTCAGAGACAGGGGAGGACTTAGTGTACATAAGGAAAAACATGGAGAGAAACGTTACACATGTGGTGACTGTGGGAAAACCTTCAGAAATCGGGGATACTTTCGTATACATCGAAAAACTCATAATCAGGAGAAACGTTATAAGTGTAATGAATGTGGGAAAGACTTTAGCCTGAGGGAATCTTTTGTTGTTCATCAGAGAATTCACACTGGAGAGAAGCCTTATAAATGTAATGTATGTGGAAAAGCCTTCATTTATAATACATCCTACAGTAAACATCTGAGAATCCATACTGGAGAGAAACCCTACACGTGTAATGAATGTGGAAAAGCTTTTACTCAGAAGCATTACCTTACCGAACATGAGAGAATCCATACTGGAGAGAGACCCTTTGAATGTAATGAGTGTGGGAAGTCCTTCAGGCAGAAGCAAACTTACAAGGCTCATAAAAAAATTCATACTAGAGATAAATCACTGAAGTATAATCAATGAGTGTGAAAGGCAACTGCTAGGACACATTTGAGAATATCAGTGATTGCATACTGTTGGACAATTAATGTAAATGCTGTCATTGTGGGGAAGCTGTAACTTCGACCCATAGGGAAACCTACCACCTCAGGCTTCATCTGTGACTAAGACTGGCCGTGGAACGACTCTTGCATGTGTATTTTAACTTCTTATTACAGGGTTCGTGTGGAAATTTTACTGTGGGGTTTTAGTATGGGAAATATTTCATAGGATTACAAAGTCATAGGCTTAAAGCTGAAAAGAACCTTAAAAGGACATCGAGTCCAACTGCCTCATTTTATAGGTTAGGACACAAAGGAAGAGTCATTAAGTGACTTGCCCAGAATCATATAGCTAGTGGGTATATGAGGCAGTATTTAAACCCTGACAGTCTGGTGCCAGACCCACTAGTCTGTGCTTCCTTTAGTCTCATTACTTGTTAAATACTGAGAGTTAAAATGTCAATTTTTTATTCACAAGTTACACTATTGTTTGGGGATTTGAAAGGAAAATTAATAATCGTAGTAATAATAAAGTAATGAAAACCTTTAATCTGGAATGCATGTTGCCTGCTTTAGGTGTTGAAGTTGTATGAATAGATCCTGAAAGAGCCTCTATAGTACCAGTTTCGTAAATAATTTCAGTAAATTTGCTAAAGTTAGCAAGAACAAATAGTAGATAAATGACAGATGGCCTTCCTGCCCACAATAGGAGAATAGATAGTGTAGTTCTCTGAAGTAATTAATCCCAGGGCTTGGTTGGGTCCACTCAGTGTTCTTGTTTGACCTGGGGTCTAAAATACAATTATAGTAGTTAGAGCCCAAAGATAGCTTGAAAGAGGTCTGGTTTAACTACCTTGTGAAATAGAAGCCCTCCCATTTAATAATAGGAGTTTGAGAATAATGAAGTTTTGACTTTACTTCTTGCAAGGGAAGGTGAAGTTTTCAGCAGATTTCTGTGTGTGAACAAGAATTGGACCCTGGGTTCACAAATCCATAACTTGTTGGGGAAATTTGAGCTACAATATAATGGAGCATAAACAGGCTACTATATTAAATTCTCCTTGGGCTCAAGCGTTACTGGTGTCAGTAACCAGTGGGATTAAACCAAACTTGCAGCATACTGGCAGATGGAAATCCCAGAAGCCAAAGCCGAGCCACATGTAGCACATTTGCACATTTCTTCCAAGTCCCTTCTGCATGTGTCCATTATATTTACACATTTTATTCTATATAATAAACTGAAGTGCTATCTCCTTAGAAGAGTCCCAATGCCCCAAAGTACCTTTTGTGCCTATTTCCTAATAATCCATGCATAACAATAGGTTTTCTTCCTTACTAAGGCAGTAATTATGCTGAACAGTCTCTCCATGTGTTCACTCCGTTAAATGTAGTGGTAGGACAGGACCCAGTGCCCTCTTGATGACTTTAGAGGGTGTTCTTTTTCAGGAATGGTCAGGAGTAGATGGTTTCTAGTAATCCATCGTGCTTTGAGATTATTTAGTAGTGAGATGCTGTTTATCAATTTTCTCTATCAGGCTAGTTCCAACAGTTTGATACCAGCCTGGTTGGGAGAGAAAGTAATAGCCCTCTTAGCTACCCAGTGCAGTAAAACAGAGTCCTGGAATAGGATTCTCTGAATAGCAATGACACTGTTAATTACGTTAGAATAATTCGCTTGGACAATTGGTTTCATTTTCCCTTGGTAAGTTCATTCCCTGCACTGGACTAGTTGCTCAGCGTTGCATATGGAAAGATATTCGAACAGGTATACCGATGTACTTAACAGGGCTGTGAGTTGATCCAGGTCTCCATAGCAGTCTGGAATTATGCAGGTAAAATGATTAAATTTCATGCTCTGATCCAGAGATTCCATTTTTCAGCATATTATCCCATATAAAGATGAAGCATATTTTGAGCTTCATAGCAGTACTCTGGTATCAAATGAGTGAGTACGTAATTAGTGAAGTACAAAAAAATTGGCATAATGAAATATTGGGCATTAAGGCATGACTGAATAGAGGAATCCAGAGCAACCTGGGAAAATTTGAGGATATAGAAGGATTTTCCCCACCCGCACCCCCCAAAAAAGTCACTGTAAACAAGAGACCACACTAATGTAATTTTGAAAGACCACTATAACGAAGTGAAACTGCATAATTGATAAATGAAGGTTTCAGGAAACATACTGAAACTACCTTCATGGTGTGTGGGGGAAGGGCATAAAGATTGTTGTGTAAATTGAAAGTTACTATATTGGAAGTGTTGATTGTTCTGCTTTGTTAGAAGGAAGGCTGGAATCATTCTTTCCAAGAAAACTGATGTAAAAGACAAAAAATATCAATAAAACATGTATATGTATTTTTAAAATTCTGGTAAATCCTATTACAGTCTATCTCAGTTCAGAAAAGGCCTTTGATAAAATGCAGCACTTAACACATTCAAACATTCAGGCATCCCTTGATATGATCAAAAGTATTTCAGAGCTAGCATTATTTTTAAGAGACTAGAATTTTCCCAATAAGATTGGGGGAAAAGAAATGACCATTACTTCTGCTATTATGGGATCTGGTGTTGGAAATGCAAGGTGTAAGGAAAAGATTCGATAGACAAAGAGGAGATAATTACTGTTTGTAGATAGTAGTTTGTTTAAATGCAGGCATTCGGTGAAAAAGTTGGAACCAGTAGTAAAATACTAAGATATGATACCTTTCTGTTTCTTAGTGAAACCAAGCAGAAGGGATGGAAATTACCTTCTAAGTAGCTACAAAGGAATGAAAATATCTAGTCATTAGCTTATCAAGACACTGAAGAAATGGGGGAGGCAACAACTATGTACAATATTTACCAAGCGGACTATATACAGGATAAATAGAAAATAATCAAAGGCCTGGGGAAAGCCTGTAGAAGGTGGGATTTTAGCTGGAACTTAAAAGAAGGCAGGCATGTGAGCAGTTGGAACAAAGCAGGGGGAGCGTTCCAGGCATGGGGGACAGCCAGAGAGAATGCCCATAGCCAGGAAGTGGAATGGCTTGTTCGTGGAACAGCTAGTGTCACTGGATTGAAGAGTATGTGATAGGGCTTGTTTGTCCTTCATTCTTGAAGAGGACCACGACATCAGGAAGATGATGCCATGACTTTCAAGTGAATTAGATTTGAGAGGGAGGGCTGCACAAAGTCACCAGCCTCACTTTCTCCTCCAGAGCCATCTGGGTCCAGTGTGCAAGGTATAGATTAGGATGGCCGTAGATGGTCCCCATGTGTTGGGGAATGGAGGGGAAGAAAGGAGGTGGCCAGATCGTGAAGGGCTTTGAATGCCAAACAGGATTTTATGTTTAATCCTGGAGGCAACAGAGGGCCACTGGAGGAGGGAGATGACTGACGTGCACTTTAGGAAAATCCCTTTGGTGGCTGAATGGAGGATGGATTGGAGTGGGGAGAGACTTCAGGCAGACACACAAGAAGCTACTGTGATTGTCCAGGTGTGAGGGCTGTGCTGGGCTGAGGGCCGTGTCGGAGGAGAGAAGGGGGCAAATTCAAAAGATGCTGCAGACGCGAAATCGGCAGGCCTTGGCAACAGCCTTTTTGAGGAGTTTAGCTGCAGCAGAGCAATAGGACCATAGTTAGCAGAGATGGAAGATCAAGGGAGGGTTAAAGTTGCCTGGAACACAGAGTATAAGTGCTCAGGGTCACATGGCCACCACGTGTCAAAGGTGGGACATGAACCCAGGTCCTGCTAGATCTGAGGCCAGCTCTCTATGTTATTCTGCCTCTGTAATTAGTGTGAAGGAGGGAGAAAATCTTGGAATATGAGATGAGAAACTCCAAAAGAATGAATAAGTGAAAAGCATTTGTGACATGCTTACTGTATACTAGGCACTGTGCTATGCGCTGGTGATGCATATATAAGCAAACGAGACAGTAGCTGCTCTCATGGAGTTGACATTCTAACAGAAGATAATACGTGTGGCTAGAGATGAAAAATATGGGAGTAGGGGGAGAGGGGAAGGGCAGCAGCCTGGCAAGGAGATGGCCAGAAAGTGGCATGCTGTGCCTGAAAACAGGTCCAGATAAGATTACGAGTCAGAGTCCATGGAACAGAGTTGGGATTCAGAATTCTAGGCAGAAGAGGGGAAGGAGTCTGGCCTTGGGTGGCTTGGCCTGGAGTGGGCTAGAAAGTGGCTTATAACCATAAGCTGTATGAAACAGTATAATGCATGAGATTATGCCAATAATAAGCCCAAAACAGAAATAGAAGCAAGCTTCAATGATATAGGAACAATATCCTATAGCCCTACCCTACCGAAAGGCTAATTTTTCCTTAAAAGGTATCGATGGCCTTGGGATTTAATTGGTTCGGGAGGATGAAGGCTGGAACCATTGATTGTAGCAGCTTTGTGACCCAAGTCCAAAAGCCAGCACAGTGAGGAAGCTCTCCCTTCAGGCTTCTAACTAATGACTCAGTATGGCCAACAGAGTTAGGGAAGCTGCATCCAACTGCAGGGAGGCTCTTATGTTTGGTGAACATCTTTTCCAGGCCTGGCCCACCAGACTGGCCCAAGTCAGGCCTGGCCTGACATTTGGATGACATTAAAATGGCCCCATCCAAGCGGGCAAGGTAGATAAAAGTTAGCCAGCACTCAGTCTAGGATTGGTGAAGAGAGGAGAGGTACAAACCATTTCAATGGCAGATTCCTAGGAATGATCAGCTCCATCTTGTGTCTATTCTTCCACTCCCTTTTTTTTTTTTTGCAAAGAGGCACCCAGTAGGAAGAGAGAAAAAAGTATCAGAGGTATATGTTATAAGAAAATGCACAACTAACAGTAACAACAGTGAACACAAATAGGATGAGCTCATAAAGTAAAGGAGGGTGGTAGAATGGATTAGACAGCAGAATCCAATATATTGCTTCCAAGACACATGCTAGTAACACAAATATTCAAAGAGTTAAATTATAATTTGTTTTACAATGATTCACAAGTTCTAAAAAGCAGAGGCAATAAATAATCTCAGACAAGGCAACAGTGAAAACAGGGTTAAAAGAGAAAAGCAGGGAACCAACATTATGCTTAAGGGTGTCATAGATAATAAAATATCAAAACTTAACATACAGAGTGTTCCTAGAGTTTAGTGCATGTACCTAATGAAATAGCATCTACATTTTTAATGGAAAAAATTAACTGAATTACAGGAAGAAGTAGCATAATAGTTGGGCTATAATAGTTGGACTCAGACCTAGCTAAAAACAAAAAACAAAACACCAAAAAGACCAGCTGGAGGGGAATGATTCATCCCTGGCAATTACTGAATGGGAATGTAAAGTAATATACCTATTTCTCGGCTGTGTATAGCATCCATACAAAAATTGGCCAACTGCTAGGGCATAAAAACTTCATAAACAAATGGAGAAAAATTAAGCATATCCTTTACTTACCATAATGAAGTAAAATTATAATCAATAAAAAGCCTCTGAAAAAAGGATTTAAAGTTAAATGGGGACTAAATAAATCAATCCTAAGGAATTGATAGGAATTAATGATAAGATGTTTGTTCCCAAAGAACAGATCATCAAAATTGATAACTTGATTATGGAAAATAGAGACGCAATGCCATAACTTTGGAGATGCAGCTAAAAGGGATCCTTAGGGGGGGAAATCTATATCTCTAAACACTTTCCTTCACAAAAGAGATAAAGAAGAGATCAATGAATTGGGTTCAACTAAGAAAAACTAGGGAGGCTATACTAAAAAATAAAGTAGAAACTCTAAAAATAAAAAAAAAGATAAAATTGACAATGGAAATACTACTAATAAGTTAAAGGAGCTATATTTTAAAAAGCCCTTCAAAATTAGACAAACCACTAGCAAATCTGATTTTGAAAAAAGATGAAAACCCAATAGTCAACATATAAGTGAAAATGAACTTACAAGAATGAAGAAATAAGGGGAAAATTTCAAACTAAGCAATTATATGCCAGCAATTAAATGAATGTGTATGCACCAAAACATAAAATACCCATCAGAATATCAGACAAAGAATTTTAAATAACCCAATCTTATAAAAAATGAAAAAGTTACAAATGAACTTCCAAAGAGAAAAACTCGAATCATATGGATTTACAAGTGAATTGTAGAATAGTTAACTTCAATTATAATAAAAAGGGGAGTCCTATCAAACTCCTAGGAGAAAAATATGGTCGTTATACCTGAATCAAGTCAGAGAAAGAAAATTATAGACCAATATCATTAATGAATATCTATGTAAACTATTAGCAATGAGAAAACAAAAACATCAAAAATATACAATATAACCAACTTGGATTTATACCAAAAATGCAAGTTTATTCAATATTAGGAATACCATGAGCAGAATAGACTCTATTAGAAAAAAAGAGGAAAGAACAGAAAGAAAAAAAAAGCAATAAAAATCACATGATCCTTTCTCTTCCCACAGATTGTCCCCCTCTGTCATCCCCATTCTTTCACTTATTTTCAGTTTCTCTCTCTCTACTCTCTTATTTCTCACCACCTACAAATATGCTCATGTCTCCCTTATCCTGAAAAACAAAAACCCAGAAACTGTCACTTGATCCTTCTATCTATTGCCCTATTTGTCTTCTGCCCTTCGTAGCTAAACTTGAAAAGGCCATCTACAGCTGGGGGCTCCACTTTCTCTCCTCTCACTCTCTTCTTAAGCACTTACAATCTAGCCTTAGATGTCATCATTCCACTCAAACTGCTCTCTTCAAAGTTACTCGTGGTCTCTTAGATGCCAAATCCAACAATCACTTCTCAATCTTTATTCTCCTGGACCTTTCTGCAGCCTTTGACCCTGTGGGTCACCCTCTCTCCTGGTTCTCCTCCTACCTATCAGCTCCTTCTCTGTTTCATTTGCTGGAGCCTTTTCCAGATCATGCTCTTTCACCATAGGTGTCCTGCAGGGTTCTGTTCTGGGTCCTCTTCTCTTCTCCCTCTATACTACTTGGTGATCTCAGCAGCTGCCATGGATTTAATTACTATTTTCTTTTTTTTTTCTTTTTTAGGCAATTGGGGTTAAGTGACCTGCCCAGGGTCACACAGCTAGTGAGTATCAAGTGTTTGGTCTGAGGCCAGATTTGAACTCGGGTTCTCCTGTCTTCAGGGCTGGTGCTCTATCCACTGCACCACGTAGCTGCCCCTAATTACCATTTTCTGTGCTAATGATTCTCAAATCTACCTTTCCTACCCCAATCTCTCTGCTAACCTCCAATCTCACTTCTCCAACTGCCTTTCAGACATCTTGAACTGGAACTCCAGTAGACATCTTTAATTCAATATGTCTAAAACAGAGCACATTATCTTTCCCCTAAGGCCTCCTCTGACCTTCCTAC